TTTTTTTTTCCCTTTTGCAAAAGTCAACTCACAACACACCAATGAACTTGATGATATTCAAGTCAACACAAATCAGGTCATTCAACAGACGGATGGACAACAAAAGGATAAATAAAATAGACGTTCCTTTTTTTTTTGTTTTTTTTTTTTTGTTAAGGGTGGGGAATTAAATAATAATAATAGTTAATCTAAGCATTGTGAAGGGAGCGGGTTTTAGGGGATAGAGACAGGCGCCCCGGGAGCCAATTTTAAGGGGTGACGAAAATTTCAATAATCGGGCGCTAAATAGTTGATGTTAAAGAACAAATAAAAATGGGGGCGTTGGCGCCAAATTAAGAATTTTTCCAAGATGCGACTTTATCTTCGCATGGCTATGTACTTAATCTTTGTCATTGTACACATGGAGTATATACCATTAAGCATTATGTCTATAGAAAATTAATATACTTCATAATATTAACACAAAAAAACAACATTAACTTAAATATATTTAGTAATTTAGATGGTATTAATTTTTGTTAATTGAATATTTAGTTTTTTATAATAATTTAAATTGCCCCCCCCCCTTTTTTCCCGCTAAAATATTTCCGATGCAAAAAAAAAAAAACAAACAAAAAAACAAAAACAATATTGCTGTGTTTGGGTTCCATGAGCTCATTGGTAAATAAGGCTTGTGACCGGGGTGACAAATAAAGCCTTTTATGACGAATCTCTTTTTATGGATTCCGATGAATCAGTCTGATTTATTAATGCCTTTTTATTTGCTTACGCAAAACAAATTTCTTGTGTTCAATGTATCTAAAATTACTACCTGACTACTGTTTGTATGTAAATGTGTGTGGTTAAATTGTCTAGACCGAATCAATCACAAGCTTGTGGTCTGGAGTTTATTTCCCAGGAAGTTCAGTTTACAAAAGTAGTGAATCGATGATACTTGAACCGTCTTAACATGTGTTATAATAATTTAATGATAATTTACAACTTTTTATCATACGTTCAATGCAGGGCTCAGAGCACTTTTTTTTTAGCCATTACCCAAGATACGTCTATTCTTTTTTCTTGAAATCGACGTTACCACACTCTAGTAAATTAAATGAGACAATATATATATACATATATATTTTAATTTGTAAGTATGTATCCGACGCAACAACGAAGATACTAAGAATGGGCACAAGCCTGTTATTAGAAACGTTACTGGTTTATTGAATCTATGAATACGAGTGATACAATAATAATTATAAAGAGTACAAAATAAATTCTATGAATTAATAAATACTAATCATTGGACATTTTGAAAGCCTTCGCACCTGTTGATGTTTGGGAAAAAAAATCAGCAATAGATTTACTAAGGGTTGCGGTAGCGAAGCTCTAACTTTGAGACGGCACAATCCCTCGAGGGGAAAACCCAGATTAAAAGGAAAAAAAATGTCGACAGAGTTTCGCCAGAGCAGTCAGACTCGGAGGAGGGCTATGGGGAAGTCTGGTTGCCACCAAATGGTGTAGCCTGTGTCCTGATCTAGGTATTGTCTTCCACTTGCCTCACTTTTTAAAAATTGACTTCACTGATTAAATTCCAACGCTATACCAACCCACACCTCCCTTGATTGGGAAAAAGGCTGTTGGCATTCTATTTGTTCCAAAGAATTCTATCGGGTGATGGTATTTCTGGAATTTATTTCTGGAGGGCTCTACCATCCTACCTATAAATAAGACGACAGCTTTCCCAGACGGGAGATCGATTTTTAGCTTAGTCATTTAAGAGACGTAATCATTTACTTATAGGAATGTTTAAAGATTTTACTCTTTGTGTATGTGTGTGTGAGTATTAATATCTGTATCTTTCAATGATTTTACAGTCTCACTGGATACGTTTTGCCATCCATGTAGCCAAACCCATCAGCACTTTCCTATTGAATTCTTTCTAAATGTATGTACATTTTATTGATATACAGATAGTACATTTACTTTTGTATCTAAATCAGTAGTTTGGATAGAGTATGTGATGCCCGGGGCAATCTTTATTTTTGTCCACCCCTCCCGCCCGAGTGAAAAAAAAAATCCATTAAGAGCAATATCTAACTTACGCCATATTGACAAAAAATACTATTTCAATAATGTGGCGACTTTCATTCTTTTCTTTCACTCTTAGGTGTAGGCAGCATATAATAGATCTACCAAACACATTGAATGTATACTTATATGATTCTGATTTCTTGTATTGATGAAGGCATTTGTCGAAACGTTTCAATTTTTATTATTTTGTCTACTCAAAATTGAAGTTTCACCTGTCGGGGTATTTGTTTTTGTATGCACACATTTTGTGCGTCTCATTTTTCTATGTAAAGTCGTTATCATAGTCCACACCTTTTATAGATAGGTAATCATTTAAACATAAACATAACATGAAAGGTAAATCTTTTCATTTTATTTTTTATCTACAACGAATTGATTCACATGACAGTAAATATGATATATAAATATATATATATATATATATATATATATATATATATATATATATATATATATATATATATAAATCTATATTTAAATAAATATATAAAGCACTTTCAGAATATATTAAATGCAATTTAAAAAACTAAGCTTATGAGATCTTTCACTATTAAAGTACTCTGTGAGTATATAAATCTATATTTAAATAAATATATAAAGCACTTTCAGAATATATTAAATGCAATTTAAAAAACTAAGCTTATGAGATCTTTCACTATTAAAGTACTCTGTGAGATTCATAATTTAAGTATTTCCCTTAGCCGGACGTGAAAACTAAATCAAATGTGTTTGGCATTCAGGCCCTCTCAAACTTTATAGTATTTTCAGTCAAAAATAATGTGCAGCGTTGATTTTCCAAACGCCGACTATTCGAAAATGTGGTTAATGGAACTGCCCATGTCTTTTAAAGATACATTTTTTTCCCCATCGTAGTGCCATTTTTTCCAAAAGGAGAATATGTGCAACATTTTTCCGGTTCATTTTTAATTTTTTTTAAAATGTCTTCAATCGAGCTCAAAATGTCTTGTTCGTTTTTTTTGTTTGTTTTTTTTTGTGTAAAATTTAAATGTTTGTGAAAATAAAAAAAAAATCATTTCTTTGTACCCAATTGCTCACGTTTTTACTTACTATTAATAAGGATACTTCATTCACTTCACTACAATTAGATTCGTAAAAAATAAAAAAAAAAATAATTTTTACATATATATTTGATTTTTTTTTTTTTTTTTTTTTTTTTTTTAAAAAAAAAAAAAAAAATTTTTTTAACACAACTATGAATTGATACTGCAAGACCAGTTAGGCAATCTGATATCATTCGTCAAATACGAAGACAATGGATTACGTCATTTGAATATCATAGGCTGCATGAACATTGGTCTGTTTGAGCAAATTTATTTCATTCGACAAATATGAAGACAATGGGATTCATTTATTTGAAGATCACATTCTGCAGGAACGTTGGGAGGTAAATTGAAAATATTGTGCGGTCTGAATTGTCTATTCATAAGAACTGAAAAAATTATAAATGATGCTGGTGAAGGAGCAGATTAGACGTGATTGTGAGTTCCTAAAGGTGATCATACTTACGAAATACAATTTTAGGACTAACTTGTTCGAATTTGTTTTTTTTTTTATAGTTATCAATTAAGAAAATAAGAATTTTTGTTTAAAAAAAAATAGCAACACCTCTGAGAATTATATTTAAATGCTTAATAATCTTAAAAGCTAGGTGTTTGCTATCACAAAATTGTTTACTGTTGTACTCCTAACTATTGGTTTATTTCAGAATAAATATGTGTATCCATTTTTATGTCCTCCTTTCCAAATAAAATTTCGCATTTAAAAAAAAAAAACCTTTTTCACACTGAAAAATCTTCTCTTTTTCATTTTTTTGCATCTTTTAAATCTTCCCCGATGGAGACCTCAGATTTAACATTAATGAACGAAAAAGAAGCAATCAGAGATGGCAAAGCAGGGTGAAATAAAAGAGCTATCCTCATTTTTCACACAAGATGCATTCGTCTTTTTAGTGTGCAATTGCAAGAAACTTTCTTTGAGTACGAAAGTCTTGCAGCTACTCACCGTATAATATTTATCGTAAAAAAAGCGGAATACTAAAATTTACCAACAACACAACAACCCCCACCCCCTCAAAAAAAAAAAAAAAAAAAAAAAAAAAAAAGAGAAACAAACAAAAAGAAATAATAAAAAATGCCCACCAATAAAAATAAATTCATATAAAATACGTATACTCTTCCTGAAGTAAAAAAAAAAAGTATAAATTAATGCCCCACTGGCCCAGCGTAAGTATTCATGCACAAACAAGAGTAAAAAATATACTACAAGCTTCAGTATAATTATAAAATCTAAGTATCATAACTATAAAAAATGAAAAAAAAATTAAAATGTTTAAAGATCTGTTTTCTTTCGTCGACCCTCCATCCGCCCAGGGGGAAGATTTGGGTTGATTTGAATGTCAGCTGCCTCGTTAGAGGTGTTCACGTGTGGGGCTGTAAAACAATATAACAAATTAGTGTTTGGATTTGATGCGAGTGCCCCTCTTATACGCAAGTCAATGAAAGGGATTCATTTGTAAGACGTTAGAGGACCAGAGGGATTTAAGCTAAAAATATTTCACTAATGTAGAAGCATTATAATTTCTTTATGAGCAGTTGAACTATTTGTGTGTGTGTGTGTGGTCATATCAATACACCTTGAAACAGTGAAAAGCCATTTTCGTTTTTATTCACTATACCTTGTTGACCTTTGACCTTCTAACTTCCACCTTGATCCTCACCATTTCAACGATTGCCCCCAACATTTCAATCTATTATTAACCGCCTACTTTAAAATTAATTTACTTTAAAAAGATTAGCTCAGTTCCAAAAAGAATTAAAAGTAAAATTTCATGGGGGAAAGAGTGATCCCCCAGGTACAAGCCCAGACGTGGCATAGGGTATTCTGTAGTAGTTGGGACAAAAGGGATTTTTTTCCGGCTTTTGTTAAGTGATTGATTTTTTTTTTTATTATTATTATTAATTTTTTTTTGTAGCGTGTTAAGAGACTTGAAAGCCCAGGGGGCGTGGCATGTTGGATTTGAGGGTGGTGGGGGGGTATAATGGGTGTGGCGAAACAAGAGATCAATAAACGTTTAGTATGAGGTATAAGGAGAGGAATGGGAGAGTTGGACGGAGTTGGAATGTGTAGCATATTGGTGTGTTAGTACGGTGGGTATGTTTAATGGATAGATGTGGTGGATAGGTTTGGTGGCTAGGTTTGATTTGTCGAATTTTGGATAGGTTCAGTAGGTAGGTTTTGTGGGAAAGTTCGGTGGGTAAGTTTAGTTGGTATAGGACATGTGGTGGTAGGTAAGAGATGGGTTTCTGTGATGTTAAAGAGTGAAAAACGTTTAAATTGAAATTATTTATTGCCTAACGCAGGGGTCTCAAACTCGCGGCCCGCGGGCCATTTGCGGCCCGCAAGACAATATTTTGCGGCTCGCTAACTGACAGCAAAGTTTAGTGTTAATGCGGCCCACGCGTTTTCCCCAGTCTCATCTCTATAATGTGAGCCGTTGCGAGGGTTTTAGTCGAATCTTACCGACTTGTATATATCTGATTTTTATTTGAGTTTGTGTAAGTTTGGACGTTGATTATAATGGTAAGAAACGTTTTAAAATCGGACTAAAATTTTTATTTTATAGAACTTTAAGAGACAAACATTGCCAAAGTAATAGGATTAGTCAAAAAGGTCTTTTCTACGATAAAAAGAATCAGAATTTACTCTCTCAGATCCAGGGGCTTGAAGCACTGTCAGTTCCATGACTTTTTAAAGGGAATAGAGTCAGCATATGAGGATGGTATCTACTTTACCGTTGTACTCTGGCTTAGCAGGGGAAACGTCTTGGAAATCTTTTTGAGTGATAGCAGAAATCAAAGCCTTTATAGAGAAGGATGGGGTGGAGATGTTGTTCCTGTAATAAGTTATCCCAAATGGCTCATGGACTTGGTTTTTCTTGTTGACATTACAAGGTGCTGAATGTACTCAACAAGAAGTTACAAGGCCAGGGGCAGATTGTCAGTGTTGGCTATGAAAATGTCATTCTGCACAAAGCTTGTGCTATGGAAAGCTAAGCTTTCTCATATAAAGACTCTGCCGTTTCCCAACATGCAAATTACTCATGGACTCAGGCACACAATTCAGTAGTAACTTAGTAGTAAGTAAACTGATGCTATTGCAAAGCTACAGGAAGAATGCATCACAGGTTTGCTGACTTCACAACGCCACACAGAGCCACTTTTCAAATTTGGCTTACCGTTTCTCCTCCAATGTGGAAGATACACCCCCCCCCCTAACACACACTCTCAACTTGCGCATCAAATGGAGCTGATTGATCTTCAGCGCAATTCTGAACTTAAGGCTAAGTTCAGTGGGGTGAATAGAAAAACAGACAAGCTTGAAAAATTAATGAGAGCAGTGCCCTCCACATTGCCTGAGATTTCCAGGTTGTTCAAGCGGATCGTGTGCCTTTTTGGGAATACCTATCTGTGTGAAAAGCATTTTCCACTATGAAATTTAACAAGTCAAATTTCTGGGTCAATCTTACTGATGAGCGTTTACAAGCTATACTGTGAGCCTCAGGTGCTTCCTTACTCAAGCCAAATTTTGCTTAGCTGTGCAAGAAGAAGCGCTGCCAGGTTTCTGGCAACAAGGAGGAGGTGGAAGACAGGGAAGCCTAGATCTTGAGAACGCTTCATGTTTTCATTTATTTGCTATTAATAAGGATTTAGCAGATTGTAACAGTTTTACTTTATTGAATGTGTAATCACTTTTTTTTTAGGAATACTTTATGCGGCCCAATCTAACTACGACACTACCTCCTGCGGCCCGCGGATGATTTGAGTTAGAGACCACTGGCCTAAAGTAACAACACACTCCATCCATCCATCCCTATGGAGCTAAAGCCCATGTAGGGCTTTGGCCTGCCTCACCACTTCCTTCCACTTAGACCTAACTAATGCCATTATTTTCCATGTTTGCATTTTCAGCTGTTGTAGATCTTTTTCCACATCATCTATCCACCTAAGCCTAGGTCTGCCTTTGAGCCTTTTTCCTCTGGGGTATTGGTGATGCAACCTCTTCGTTCCTCTGTCATTTGGAACGACACACTCCGAATGTCCTCAAATTATTGAACATACTATTTATGATATAATTTATGTATTACCTTGCAAGGGATACGATTCTCGTAGCTTGAATGAAATCGGGTTTAACGGCTTCTTCTTTGCTTCTGTATTGAAAATTAAACAATAAATATAGTTCATAGTAATGATCTCGTTTGCATTGATAATGGATAATAATAATAATATTAATAATAATAGTAATAATAATAATAAAATCCAAAGGATTATAAGCTGGTTCCCAACAGCAAATCGCCTCTCTCCATACCGCTGGATATTCCAAGGGAATATCATGAGGATGATACTGCTTGGCACCAGTGGCGTCGCAGGAGTTGTCAAAATGTTTCATTGTAGCAATGTTTTCCGCATACGGGACACCATCTCTTTGTTTGAATTCAAAGTTTCCTTTCTCTTAGATGAGTTGCCATCCAAGGTTAACGAGTTCCATCCACCCAGGGTGCTGGTGATGTTTTTGCTTGACTGCGCTTTTGGCTGGCATTGAATTCCTGATCACCAACTTGAGATTTGCTAAGTTTAGACCACTCGACCACTGTTTTCTAACAGTGAATTAAAGCTATTCTGTTTTGTTAAAGGCACCAAAAAAAAACACACTAATCTGTCTTGTACTAATCAAGAAAACGCTATATTCGTCTAACTGCCAAGAACCTGCTTTAAATGTCTGATAACGGCCACAGGTGATCTCTTTTTTTTCTTTCACAATTCACTTTCGAATTTTTTTATGATTCCTTTCTAGTGCAGGATACAAACAGGAGCAAACGATCTCAGGCGTGCATCACTTGCACACTTTCTGAAATGTCTTCGTCTAGATCGGTGACTCGGCATGCGGCTGTTTTGGTTCAGAAATTGATATGGATCTTTTTTGTATAATTTATTTCGGGGGAATGGGTGGGGGTGGGAGAACCGACATCTTTCAATCCTTCTATTATTAGTTCTTGATTCCTCGATCTGCATTCGTATGTCAAAGTTCCAAAATCGCTGATTAACAAATTATTTTAGGACGAAAAGTGTGTTCTAAAAGATGTAAAACACTGGCGCAAGATGAGAGACAAAAGCCAAGGAATCTTCCGAAAGCTTCGTGGATTGTGGTCATTCGATATTAAAACAAGTATTCGTAAAACAATATAATATGTAGTTAAATCACGAGAACATAAGTACGAGTCGATTAGAATCACCAGCAAAAGAGCTAATGATTTCGGACTGTCTTTATGATATTTTTTATCAAATGGTTTGTGTGTGTTACCTTTAGATGCACGCTTGGTCTGGTCTTTTTGTGCAGCTTTGTCGCCGTCACGGTTAGTCTCTGACCTTAGCAGGGCTAAGCTGCGCTGTTTAGAAGGATCTTTTCTTGTAGGCGCTGGGACAGGAACGACCTGTCAAATGTTGTGAGATAACAAGTAAAATGTGTTGACATTCATTTGATGATTTAAGGATCATAAGATTGAGTTTAATTCAATGATATAATTTATAGACAATATTTTATTAAGAATGTGTTGAAATTCATTGTATCACTTATAGAAATTAAAAAGTGTTGAAATTCGTTATATGATTCAAAGAAAATTATATTGTCTTTATCACAAGGACACATTTTATTGAAAGATATGTCAATAATTTTAATAGCTTCTGATGGTTTAGTCGCCCCATAAGTATGAAAGTGCCAGGCGCAAGTCAGGTCTCAGAAAATTGAAAAATTATATAGCACCACTTTATTGTTAGTGTTTAAATGCCTGATGTGGTAAACAGTTTAACCCCCCTCATCCCACTCTTACACTAAAGCGTGACCATCGATTTCCAGTTGAACCTGTGCATCAAAATGGCCAGTAGAAACATCGGGCGTCAGTCCGATAATGGGTATAGGAGCGGTAGTGTACTGGAAGTCCAGAGAGCAGTAACTCCTCATACGTTATTCAAAGCTTGCCGAACGTTGTCAGGCTTACCAACGCCATGCGAGGTGGGATGGACCAATGAAATACCACGGATGACAGAAAAATCATGCAAATTAAATTGCCCGACCACGGCAAAGACACTGAAGTACCAGCTGGACCACGGCTACGTCACTGAAGAACCCGCCGTATCATAGCAAAGTCACTAAAGTACCATCCGGACCATGGCAAGGTCACTGAAGAGCCAGTTGGGGATTTTCCCATCGGAATTTTCATCATCTTATTGGATTATTACCTATGTCATGCAGATGCCAACCTGGTCGCTGTCTGATCCGCCGCTGCTACACAGAACATTATTATTGTATAGCTAGCATTCGTGTTGACATTTCAGTATTGCTCTCTAAGCAAGCTGCTTGTGTGGAAAGCACGAGGAAATGCACACACAAACCTTGCCCTTGAATATATATTTTAACTTTAAAAAAAAACAAAAAACTTGTAAAGGTAAGGCATTAGCCTTAGTAGCCTTCTGCAAACCCACAGACAGAAACAGTACACGGAGCTCTTGAATGATTCCAGTGAGCTTTGGCAAGTGGACATGCAATTAAAATTAAATGACAAAAAAATAATAATCATGACAATTTTGAGTTTACCCTTGTAGACTGAGACCTGAAGATTCGTAGTTGCCTCAATTCTCTGTTAGGAGAAAAAAAAAAAAAAGATTCATTTGGTTAAAAGTATTTTTTCTTAGATTCTTTTTTAAACGATGATTGCTACTTTAAAAAAAAATAATTATGATGGATTTCTAGTACAATGTTAATACTTTAAAATTTTTAATATTAAATAATTAAATATTGCTTGTCATGAATTTTTAACGGAATTATAGATTTACATTCTTCAGTGTTTAGAACGCACTTTTTAAAGAATTCACTAAGCCAGTAATTGAGTGAGGTCGATGATATTAGATTATGTATATTTTAAAAAAAAATGGATTAGACATAAGCCTTGGAAACATATGCGTGGGCACAGAGGTGTAGCGAGAGTGTTTGGCACCCGGGGACAAGATTGGCGCCCGGGGACAAGATTCGCGCCCAGGGACAAGATTCATTTTAAAGCGCCCCTTTTTTCTTTTTTCAACTCTCAAACCCATTATGTTCATCAATAAAATAATATCAAAACGTTTTGGCGCCCCTAACTACCTTGCGCCCGGGGAATCTGTCCCCCCTGCCCTCCCCCCTCGCCACGCCTCAGCGTGGGCATTTGCGTCTTTAGGATTGATGTCGCGAAGTGCAGTACATTCACCGTCTCATATCTTATAGACTTCACCAATGGAGTACCTCCGAATCTGCCTTCTATGGTGTCAACCTGCTATGATGTCAACCTCCTCTAGTGAAACTTGTGACATCTATTTATTTACGACAAGTTAACAGAACGTCTCTAAGGAACTGTATTCCTCTCGTATTTTTATCTCTCCATTTTTTGCGTCACCTCCTGACGTGTTGTGTCATAACGCAATCCACACTTTAGGTTTTTCCTCTGCATACATATTTTATTCTTTATATTTTTCTTAGGAAAAGAAGGCTAAAGTGCGACCCTCTCTGTGTGTCACAAACCCTATCAAGCATCTGATCTTGGTGGAAAATAAATCAAATACTATGTGGCAATCTATGTTTAAAATTCACGCTTTTCTGGGAGCTTTTGTTCTGTGTTATAAATTAAGAACTTTTCAGAAACCTTCTGACTAATTTTCGGGTCAGGGTCTGAGATTATTATCTTACGACCCCGGCTAGTATATTGGCTACCAGCTCCATCTGCTGAGCCATACAACATTTTCCTCAGGTACGGCTCTCTCACCGACCTGCCTTCCCCCGCAACATCTAGTGAAGGACATTCGATCAACAGATACGCTAGTGTTTACGGGACCAGGCTGCAATGCCGACAGGTTGAGTCCCTGTTGTTATCTAGCCCGTAGAAGTATGTACCGATGGCGCAGTGCTCAGTGCGCAGCTGTGTCATTAGACTCTGCTGCCTGCGACCTAGCCCAAAACCATGGGTCTTGTCTGCTAGAAGTCGGCAAGTTAGCGAAGACGCCTCTGGCGGTCGCATGGTCTACCCACAGCCTGTAACATTTCGTTCTGAAATGGTCCGAAAAATCAGTTTTTTGATTCCCAGGTTAGCTACGGAGTACGTCTCGCTGAGGCTGGGCAGCCCGGGTTTCTGACAGAGATTCGGCTTTTTACATTGCAGTAATGACGCTATTGCACGTGGGTAATTGTGACATGTCACGGGAAAAAAAAAAGTTTGACTTGAAGTTTGTGATTTAATAGCCTATCTATTTTTGTGGATTTCTTGTTTTACAGGCATATCATACGTTTAAATAATTTTTTTTTTTTAATGTCAGTTATATTACAATAAGGCAGAGTGTCATTTTTAACACAATTTTTTTTATCAGCAATGTTCTTAAACGTTTAGCCGTGCAAACGCATTTGAAAAAAGAACCCCCTCTCCTACCGAACTGCAGTTCAACTTATCATCTTTCGGAAAATCAGATGTTTTGGTTAGAATGGTCAGTTAATTAAAGTTCTTAACATGTGTTTAAAGCAAAACAACTAACCATTTCTATTTTATCATATAACTTGAATTGATTTTCACCCGTCCCAAGTAATATGTTGAAACAGTTTTAGTAAATATCACTGTTTAAAAATGGATCAGAGCTGTGGGTAGCCATACTTCCATATATCAGCCACGTGTAATGTTAAATATTTATGGGATAGACATTGTTAAAATAAAGTACAAGTCAAATAAGTAAATAATGGAGCACTAGCCTAAATCATCGAAAAAAAAAAGTCCACAGTGCAGAGCCGTCAAAGACGTAGCATGAACGTACAGTAAGCATTTTCCATTAGGTTTTCTATTAAAATTTTCAGTGTACCTAGTTTTACGTTGGAAAGCAAAACGGAAATCGATTTACAAATAGCATTTCTTTATTCTAAAAGTGAATTTTAAAAAATGTATTGGTTCTATAATTCACAGAAAAAAAAAGCTCTTCCTAGAATCTTGTTTAATTAGTTTATTATAGTGAAGGTTTATCTTACAGTTAATCCATTTTAAATTTTACCAACCTATATCCCATGACACCAATGACAATCAGTATGATAACAGCGACTGCTAAAACAGCTGTCAGGACAGCAAGTACGATGATCACGGTGTCGTTCACTCCTAGCGGAACATCTTTGGGATAAATAAACAAACAAAAAAACCTAGGATTTTAAGATTCAGAGGGACGCGTTCATTACTCACACAAATTGAATGATTTTTGTTGTTAAGTAAAACATGGTCAACGGCTGCCAATTAGACGTCAGGATAAGCTAGTGACAGTGTAGTAGACAAGCCGTGCGAATGAAATAGTAATGAAATATTAACAACACGGTACGTGATAGATTGAATAACAATAAAAGACAATGACATGAAATGAGAGCCTCGCTTTAAGGCCTGACACAATACACATGTACGGTCACACACAAACGCGTACGGACAAACACACACACACGTAGATACACACAAACAAAGAGGATCGGGACCCGCTAAAGCCTTGTGAGTATGACGTAAGAGTTTTAAAGATTTTCTTTTATTTGGTTATCTCTCATTGCAGTTTACAACAGCGCTTCTAAGACTAGGCTGTCGAATATGGAGTGTTCACTCGTAAATGTTGAGCACTGAACATTGTGTTTTATTGTGTGCAGTGCGTTAGTTTAGTCCATGCACGCTTTTGGCTTGTCACGTGATTTTATCGTAGCTGTTACGTAATGTTTATAGTCTCTCTTTGTTGTGTGTGGGCTCTTCATATGGCCGTCGGTGTGAAGAAGGTTGTACTATACCAGTCGTTCTCAACCTTCCTAATGCCGCGACCCTTTAATAAAGTCCCTCATGTTGTGGTGACACCCAACCACAACACTATTTTGGTTGCCACCTTATAACTGTAGAGTATATGTGTTTCCGCTGGTCTTCGGAGACCCCCCCCCCCAGGTTGAGAGCCGCTGTACTGTACACTTTCTATTTATAGCGAGCTGCCCCCATTTTTTAATAAAGTCCCTCCTGTTGTGGTGACACCCAACCACAACACTATTTTGGTTGCCACCTTATAACCGTAGAGTATATGTGTTTCCGCTGGTCTTCGGAGCCCCCCCCCCCCCAGGTTGAGAGCCGCTGTACTGTACACTTTCTATTTATAGCGAGCTGCCCCCATTTATGTGGTTGATTCATTGTACAGCCTGATAGATACGTTTCTGAATTAATGTGTGCATTGCTATTGTAAAAATGATCTGCGTTCAGTCTGTTATGCTTACGATGTTTGCACTTGTAAAAATAATTTGAAGCAGCACACCAATTAGTACGGATCGCGACATGCGTGTAGGCGGCTTTTAAGATATGCAGCATATAGTTATAATAACCTGGTATAAAAACGAATTTTTAAGAAGAAATGTATTAACATTTTTTTTTTTGTATCGATAGGTAAAATTAACTACCCCCAACAAATGCTGTCCGTCGATACACGTGCGATAGGTTTCGGAATTTTATGGTTAGGTACCTAAGATTGGAGGCCGAAAAGATGGTACAGATTATCTTTATGGATGACGCCAAAGAGTAACCGTATTGTGAGACTTCAAACAACAGATACCCAATTACACGCAGCACAGCCTTGGTCTCACCTATTTGGACGCTAAACTCCACGATGTTGTATTCACCGTCCAGCCTGCATGCAGCATGTTTTATGGTCACCTTAACTTGTGTAGACCTTTCAAAAGTTCGTTTATACAATGCATAATGCTTGCCTTTTACGACAACCGCCGAGTCATCATCGTCTGATATTGTGATCCAGCACGGCACAGCTTCACATTCACAAACAAAGACTATCGTCAGCTCTCGACCGTTGACTTTAATGACGTCCTTAAGTTGGTCAGTTGGACGTTTTTCCCCATTGACCACCAAGTGTCCAGTTGAGCTTGTGATGCCTAACAGTTATTGATTTCATTTTTTTTTTTAAGAAGAAAAAAATAACAGCGATTAATTAATTTTTCCTGTATATATAAATATTAGGGTCAAATCAATGTATTTTTATTAAATACAACAAAATTTGAAGCGGATTTAAAAAAAAATATAATGGTTCGTTTATGATGACATGCAATAAGATATGTCTAAATACGCTATGTTGACAAGGTATACTTTATAGTAGTCTGTGGTCCAATGTTTGTTTTAAATTATTTATAAAGTCACCAAGGCTAATAATTAAAAAAAAAGGTTGATCGGTATACACAAGAACATTAGTAGTTTTAATTTTTAAAAAAAAAGTAATATTTGGCAATTTGGAATGGGCGCTCAAATGGAGTCACATTTCCCCGCCATTATTCGACATGTTAGTCTTACCTCAGCAATACTGAATAATAGTGAATACATGAAAGCTAAAAACAGAAGACTTTTAAATTGCTTATAAATGGTCTCAGGCCAAAGAATACATGCCCCAAATGGTTATCGGCACATCCTCATCATCATCATGGGGGCTGATTGTGTTGGTGGCTGCGGGGGGTGGCTGTGGGGGTGGTGGTGTTGGTGGTGTAAAGTTGATAAAGATCACTATGATTAAAAATATGATGAATATGCTAATGGTCTCGGTGTGGCACTCACCGTAGAGCTCAGAGAGCGTTAAGGCGTTGCTGGTGAACTGATCATTGCCCTCTGTTACAGCAACGGCTTGCAACGTGGCGCCGCTCAGCAACCGGGACGTCTTGACACTGATGTCGATGTCGTAGACACATTTGTCATCTGTGCCGATGGTGACGTTGCAAACATCTGAGCTCTTGGTAGTTTCAAATAGGTAGAAGAAGACACACAGCTGTAGGAAGGATGCAGTTTAATGTTAATGAATACAAAAGAAAACACTTTAGATGGTTATTTGAAGTTTAAAAAAAAAGTTACTTTTTCCTTTTTTAAGGATTTTTAGGGTGTCAAATGTTACGGGTTTCTTTCTTTTCACTGAAAACGTTGTCTTGGTTCATTCTAACACAGCCATACTTGGACCTCATTTGATGACAACACATCAACTTTTGGTCCAGACTCGACTACGACACTTTCTCACTCGTTGGTTCACACTTCCCTACTACACAGCCGCACTTGGTCCACACTTCCCTACTACACAGACTCACTTGGTCCACATTTCCCTACAACACAGCCACATTTGGTCCACACTTCCCTACAACACTCCCACACTTGGTCCATACTCCTCTACAACAGTGCCACACTTGGTCCACACTCCCCTACAACACTGCCGCATTTGGTCCATTCTTTCCTACAACACAGCCACACTTGGTACCCACTTGACTTCAACACAGCCGCACTTGGTCCATACTTTCCTACAACACAGCCACACTTGGTACCCACTTCCCTACAACACTGCCACACTTGGTCCATACTCCCTTACCACAGTGCCACACTTGGTCCACACGTCCCTACAACACAGCCACACAACAACGTTCAATGAAAGTAACTTTAACAGTTCTTTGCATACAGGACGTTATCACAAAACGTACTCTCTAAAAAATCCTCCCTACACTGATTACTTATACTAAGATGGCTCCCCTCTCGCTGACTGACGAGTACTTGCACCCTTTCACATTACAAACATAACTTAAAGAACTCCCCGAACTGCGCTGGCATAACGCGACAATCACAATTCGCCTTCAGAAAAGCACCGGTCAACTCAGCAATTAAAAACTTTCACACACAAAACAAATCAAACCCCAAAACCCAGTTGATAGCAATGAGCTACCTTCGTTATAATACAACGATGATTTTGCAAGTTTAAGAAGATTTTTATATATATATATATCATTGTTCGTCTACTTTAGACGCTGTAAATTATGGGGTAAGAATATCGAAGGGAAAGAATATTTATTTTCGGTGAGAAAATGAAATAATGGCATGGTTCATATCATTTCCGCTTTCATATCATTTTTGTTTGTACTGTTTTGGCTAACTTAATATGGATCGGATGACGTTACCGTGAAATAAGAGGAACGAAATTATTCAGCACAAAAGTATACATATTAATTTATAACTATATTGCCGGGGCTGTTTTAATTATTCCTACTTAACTTACTGGAATCAAGTTTAGAAACAACAACCATGATTTCGGAACCAATACAGGGTGATGAAAGTAATCGGCAACCACGGGGAAGCTACTCTGTTTTACAAAAACAGGCGTACATAATATTTATTTAAAAAAATAAAAAATAAAAACTCTATTCTTAATGCCATTGTACAGTATATATTGTTTTGCGTACTAGTCATTCTATTTCGATATTAACTTAATAATGTTATAATGTTGACACAATAATGAAATAGATAAACGATATTACGAATCGTCATTGGCATCCCTCTTGACCTGGTGTTTTATTTAAGTGAATATATATTTTGATTAAAGAAAGACAATACGTGTGGATCTTAAACTTACAGAAGTGAACTCAGTTCCATGTTTAGTCTTGTATTTCAGGTACATATTGGACATCCTGTATCGGTTCTTGCAGTCTACTCTGGCTCTGATTGCATATGTGTCATAGTTATCGAGTAGCCCCCTTGAGCAAGAACTTCCATTTGAGTATTCGTAGAGAGTAATGATTTGACTACTGCAAGGGCCTTGAAAGTAAAACAAAAAAATGCGTTAGAGGGTATTATTTGCATATGAAATTTTAACCGTAAGTTTAAATTTATTGGCTTGGAATAAGATTGTTTAAACAATTTGATATTTTTGAAGCACTGAGGTTTGTTACAAACGTAACGTCTTAAAAGGCAAACTTTTCGGACAAAACAAAGTCAAGGATTTACACGTAATGAAGAAAGTTAGTAAATTTTGTATACAGCATAGAGTAGTAATGTAATTAGGTAGTACATGAATATTACAAAGTGTATTTAAAAAAAAAAAAAAAAAAAGAAAAAAAAAAAAAAAAAAAAAAAAAGAAATGAAGGGAGAGAGAGAAATAGAGAGACAGAGAGAGAGGGGGAGAGAAAGAGAGAGAGAGAAAGAGAAAGAGAGAAAGAGAGGAGGAGACAGAAAGACAAAGAGAGTGGGAGAAAAAGAGAAAAGGAAAGAGAGAGAGATAGTGAAAGAGAGAAGAGAGTGAAAAAGAGAGAGAAGGGAGTGAAACAGAGAAGAGCGTGAAAAAGAGAGAGGTGAGAGATAGATGAAAGAGAGAGAGAGAGAAAGAAAGGCATAGAAAGTGAGAAAAGGAGATAAAGAAAGGGAGTGAAATCGAGAGAGAAAGAGAGAGAGAGAGAAAGAGGGAGATAACGAGATTAAAAGAGAGTGAGAAAGAGAGCAAAATATAGAGAGAGGAAGAGAAAGTTAAGGAGAGAGAAAGAGAGAGGTAAAAAGAGAGAGAATGAGAAATAGAAAGTCAAAAAGAAGGAGATTGTGTTAAAGAGAGAGAAAGAAAGAGAGAGAGAGCGAGATGAAGAATGAAGCTGAATAAAAAGATGGTGTTATCCAAGAGAAACTAATTAATTCAGTTAATACAGCTATGTGGGTAATATTGATTGCTGCTTACAGGTACAACACAGAAACGTGCAAACACACAAAGTGAAGACTTTCATGGCCGTAGACAAAGGTCTCATGGGGATGTTTAGCACCGAAAGCAAAGCTTCCTCAATGACTGATGTCAAACACATTTTTTTTGGTGGTTATTAAATGAAAAAGCCTGTGAAAGCAAACAACAAAAAATATATATGATATATGATAATCACACACGTCTAATTTTGCGTTGAAATATTTATACAGTTACTAAAATCTTTAACAGTTACTGATATATATATATATATATATATATATATATATATATATGTCTGGCATCCGTCTGTCACAATGTGACGATGGTGTAGATTTCACAGGGCGAAATACACACGGCCTGGGATTATTCCTCTATTATTATAAGCTGGTTCCCTGAAAGCAAACAACAAAAAATAGATATTATATATGATAAACACACACGTGTAATGTTGCGTTGAAATATTTATACAATTACAAAAAACATTAACAGTTATTGATATATATATATATATATATATATATATATATATGACTGGCATCCGTCTGTCACAATGTGACGATGGTGTAGACTTCACAGGGCGAAATCCACAAGGCCTGGGATTATTCCTCTAGTATTATAAGCTGGTTCCCAACAGAAAAACGCCTCTCTCCACACCGCTGGATAACACAAGGGAACATCATGTAGATGATACAGCTTGGCACCAGTGGCGTCGTAGCAGTTGTCGGAATATTTCATTGTACCAATGTTACCCGCCCGCGGGACTCCATACATTTGAATTCAGAGATTCCCTCTCTTAGATGAGTTGTAATCAAAGGTTAACTATATAGTCCCATCCACACCGGGTGCTGTTTTCGCTTGACTGAGCTTTTGGCTGGAATTGAACTCGAGACCACCAACTTGAGAATCGCCCAGCTTGCCCCCATATATTGAATGGCATTATCATATCTTCGTATGCATTATCAAACAAAGTCCCGTGCGTAGATACTGATATTCCGTCGAGCGCCTCCCCGTATTTGGCGGGTGCTGGGTAAATAAAACACCCGGGGCGGACCGTCATCAGGACCTTGTTGAGAGTGGAGGGATCCTTAGGTGCCTTACCCAAAAACCAAGGAAGCTATCTTGAAACCCTCCCCAAGACGGTTGTGCGCAGAGCTAACAACCCGGTCATGTCTAAAAATTAACGTTACGTAAGCCAAACAACATAACAAAATCCGGACTGTTTTTTAAGGGAAATCGACCCATGCTCGGATATGGACATGATGTTTTGATTGAGACATGAAAGTACTAAGACTGTTAAAATTACTAACACTCTTGGAACAGGATTTGCTGTGATGAAAGAACACGTCGTTGAGATCATACGTTTTAAACCAGTGAATGAAAGAGTGTGCGAGGAAAAATGTTTAATATATTATTAATACACTAGGCGATTCTCGGCGTAGCATACGCCGCGAGCTTGTTGGGGTGTGCGCATGGCTGGCAAGCGAGGGTGGATATAGCCCGCCAAACATTGGCGAGAACAATGCGTGAACACCCCATCTACTAAAGTTACTTGACACAAATGTGAACTGAAGTTACGCACATTTAAGAATGCCAATGTTGCTACACCCATTCCCCCCTTTCTTTCCATGATACGTCACGGCACACTTTTTATTTCACGCCGACCCGCGGCTTAGCAGATGCCACGTTTAGCACTCGCCGCGAGCTGGCTGGCAAGCCAGGGTGACAAGGGAAGGGAGTGGAGGGTTTGCCTGGGGCGTCTTGCTTGCTTGTTCTGGTATATCTATATATAGCCTGCGTGGTCTTGGTCTTGTTGTTTGGCCTCTGCTGGCGAATTATAATATTAATACATGTTCATGATTCCTCCGAAGATACAGAAGGTCAAAATGAATCTTTTTATGGGGCACTGGAAAAGATATGTGATGAGGCACCACGCCATATTAAAATAGTGATTGGAGACTTTAAAGCCAAATAGGGAAAGAAAACGTGTTTATGCCAACTATTGGCAAGGATCGTGTGAACGATGAATCCAATTGACAATGGAATCCAACTTACTGACTTTGCTTCAAGAAAAGAGATGACAGTTGGTAGCTGCAAGTTTCCACACAAAAATACACATAAAGTTAATTGGAACTCACCAGACGGAATTACTCACAACCTGATTTTCCTTATTCTAATCTATCGGGGGCATGGATTAGACGTACAAGACATAAGAAGCTATAGGGCATCTGATGCAGACTTTGACAATCCACTTGCTGAATATTATCATAGAATAAGAACAGTGAGATGGTATACAAAATGCTATGACATGATTAGCAAAAAAAAAAAAAGGTAGAAGGATTTCAGCACACTAACAGCAGAGTAGGCTGGTTTGATAGTGAATGCAGGGGGACTGTCAAAGAATGGAGCAAAACATGAATGATCGTGATACAAATGGGAAACCAGAAAGACAATACAACGAAGCCAGGCGGAAAGCCACGAAAATGTGTAGGAAGAAAAAAAAGGAAATGGACAAAAGATAAACTAAAAAATAGAAGACTTATCAAGAGATGGAAATACTAGAAGATAAAAAATGAAAAAAATGGATACCAAGCCAGAACTCAAATGTGTTAGAGCCCTGATGGAGAATTTTATAAAACAAAATAGTAAAGTACTGGAGAGTTGGGCTGACTATTTTGAGGGCATACTGTTTGCAGACGACGGACAAGATGAAGATTATCAACCACCACATGGAGGAGCAGACCCTTTAAATAAACTCCGCAACTTTGGAAGAAACTAAAGAAGTAATGGTTTCTATGAAAACCACAAAGCCCCTGAAGAAGACTCCACCACAGCAGAACTTATTAAATATGGAGGAAGAGAGCTATACTAAAAGAGAAAATTTCCAACGGAATGGAAAACGAGACTTATAACCCCAATTTACAAGAACGGTTCCAAACTCCCATGCACAAACTACACAGGAATTTTCCTATTAAATGCTACATAAAAAATACTGACAAATCTAATTGTAAAAAAAAAAAAAAAAAAAAAAAAAAAAAAAAAAAAAAAAAATGAAAAAACAAAATGAAAAAAAAAAAAAAAAAAAAAATCAATCATACACTAAAGAATATTAGGTGACTACCGATGTGGATTCAGAAGAAAAAAAAAGAGATCATCGACTGATCAGCTTTTCACTACCAGACGCCAATTGGAGAAATATTACTTTTACAATATCCCAGTGCAAGAACTCTTTGTGGACTATAAAAGGGCTTACGGCAGCATCAAAAGAAGATATCAACATGAGACTCTCATAAGCACTATTACAACAAACCCTTTTAGTATCTTGCTAACGGTGATAACATAAAACTGTAAGGGAAAAGTAGCAAAAAACATATCAAAAGCTTTTATTGAATTATAATGCGCATCACTACAAGCCTGGCTATGTTAATAGAAGAAATGAGAGATGCAACTATTTCATTTAGACACCACACTTTTGAAAAAGTAAATTCTCTTTAAATACCTAGCATCTTTATTTAAAGACACACGTGAATTACTAAAAGAAATAAAAGAAAAAATATCGGCAGGTAACAGAGCACACTTCAGTAGTCAGAAAATACTCAAAAGTAAAAAGATTACAAGAGATTCAAAGAAAACTATTTAGAAAACTGTAATCAGACCAGTTGTTACATACGCAAGTGAAACTTGGACACTAACAAAAAACGACAGAAAACCTGTTAAACACATGGGAGAGGAAAGTTCTCCAACAAAGGATGAGTAAAGATGGAGAATACGAACCAACCAGGAATGGTATAATCTATATCAGGATCCATGCTAGTAGCGGAAATAAAAAAAATGTGCTGGTCACGCTAGGCAGGACACTTAGAAAGAATGCCAAAAGACGAAGGATGAAAGAGGTTTCACCACCAAAACCTCTGAGGGAAAACCGATCGAACTAGGACTTTTAAAAAAAAATATGGTTGGAAGTTGTGGACACAGATATATAGCACCTGGGAATTAAAGCATATTACAGAAAAGCATCAGATGGGTCTGAGTGGAAGGAAGTGGTGAGGCAGACTAAAGCCTTACAGGTAGCGCCAAAAGGGTAGGATGACCAAAAATATGATTTAAACTTTGAAAAAAAAAAAAAATATCCCAAAAAGAAAGACGGGTGGGGGGACGCCATCTCTGGGTTTGAATTTAGAGTTTCCTTCTCTTAGATGAGTTTCCGACCAAGGTTAACGAGTCCCATCTACCCGGGGTTAGAGGTTGTTGCAAGGTCATTAATATCAAGGAGGGACTCAAAATCGTATTTAATCTATATAACATCTATTAAAGCACACATATACTCATACATACACTTAAACACACACACACACACACATATATATATATATATATATAAATATATATATGTGTGTGTTTGTGAGTGCGTGTGTAATAATATTTTTGAAAAAACCCTAAAGGTTTATTAATATTTCATTATTCCACCCCACCCTTCTACGCAACACCGAGGAAAAAGCCTAGAATGTGCCTGGTGTGGTTTTGGAAAGAAATGTGGTCTACAAACATTCTCCCACTTATAGTAAATTATTTGATTCACTCCAGTTTGTTGTTGGTTAGTTCTTTTTATTTCAGCATAGAATTACATCATAAAATATATCAGAATAAAAAATAAATAAATAAATAAATACCTTTTTCAACAACCTGACGAACAATCTGCAGAGGCGGCACTGAGCACGAAGCTTTGACTGTTTTTAACAACCAGACCGACATCAATGTCAAGGTCCCCGAAAGGAATTTGACCATATAAATTAACCTAGTTTGAAAACAGCATCATTTAGGAAATATTGTTTCTATATATAGCAACACATCCTCTACGTCATGGAGAAATTTCCCTGTAAAACAGTATCATTTAAATGTATCCACTCTTCCTAAATATATATATATATATAAGTTTATGTCTCATCTAAGATATTAAGTCACTTGAATAAGACAAAAAAGACTCTTCAAACATGTAATTGTTAGCTACATTGTTTACGGCATACCCCTTCTACTTACCTCTATCGCTATGTGGCACACGTAATTTTGTATGGGGGATTTCCGAAAACGATATTTTTATTGAACTGTAACTTCCTGTGACCTAATTCCCTATTTTTTTTTTATTGTGGATCGTAGAGTCAGCAATCACGTAGAGCAGTGCTTCTCAAACTTTTTAGTATGGCGACCGGCAGGAATTTTTCCACTGCACAAGGGACCGGTGCACTATTTTTCTTGTACTGACGTGGTAGCGAAATAAGCCCTCACGAAATTTGGCATGAATTCGGCCTGCTTTTTGATACAAGTCAACAAAAAATTTTGAAAAGAATAATCTTAAGCCCCTGATCGCTTATTGTTTATTTACGATCGTCTTCATTTCGCATTAAACTATATTGATCATGGCAGCCATCGTTTTAATTTCAACTGATTTTAAGTTAATACTGTTATTTTAATAAATTTGTATTCTGGCCTAAGTGTTAATAAACGAAAACATAAAATGCAATTTAAAAAAATCATGTGTAAGTTTAAGATCAATGTTTAACTTTAACTAATGGGTCATATGAACCTGCTTATTTTTTGCAAGTTTATCAAGTCGTGGCTCGATTGAGGACAATGCTACGCGCAATGGAGAACGAACATCCATTACTGTTCCTGTTCTTTGTCTTTATAAGGCTCATTGTTGAAAAGCCAGTCTCACATAGGTAAGATGAAGGAAATGGAAGAAGAGCCTTGAGAGAGTTTTCGGCAAGTTCAGGATATTCTGCACCTACGTGAATCCAAAAAAGATGCAAGAGAGGTCATAGGTCCGAAATTCATTTTCAATCCGTCATCAGCAGCTAACTCCAGCAATTTATCTTCCAAAGCTACCGACAAATCAACCTCTGATCCAATAAATGGATTGCTTATCCATCCAGTAACCTTTCCTTGGGTCATCTTCTGTGGGAAAATGGAACTCGAAATGGTCGATTAATTTTGTCAAGTGCTCAATGATGACTTTTTGTAGAGATGGAACATCAAGATCTTCATCTACTTCATCAATAGTTGTTGCCAAATTGTGAAACATATCGAAACGATCTGCTGATACTCGACTCTCCATGCTGCTAGCTTTCGTTTCTGTCCATCGAGCTTGTCAGCCATTGTAAAGCATGAAGCCATCCTTCCTTGCATGGAGATATTGAGTTCATTAAAATTGGCAAAGATATCAGCCAAGTAAGCCAACTTGGCTGTCCAATTCATATTTCGAAATAGTTCTGACCAATCCGGTTTTTTCTCTTTTTGTCTAGTAGTTAAATGTCTCTGGAGTTTTGAGGTTTTGGGATACCAGCATCATCCACACTTACAAAACCGAATCTAATATACGAGGAGTTATATTTTCGAGTGAAGCTGGTACGAGTTCGTTTCGCTGAGGAAGCTTCGTTTTCATTTATGTCTCCATCATCTGATTGTGAATGGGAGTCCGAATTTGTTTGATGCTCAGCATTCATATTTTTTCTCTTGATAAACATATCCATTGGTCCTTTCTTTTCCATCTATAAATTGGGTACAATAGAATAGATCTTTTCAGTATCAAATAGCAACTCAATTCTCTCTATTATTATTTTGAAAATTTTGAAGGAAAATATCAAAATTCATAATTTAAGTTTTAAAACATACAGTATACAGGAGTGCAAATCTATTGTTTGAGTTTTGGGGACAGATCTATAATTATGTGCTATCAATATTTCCCCCTGCTTTTTTTGAGTAGATCGAAGTGAACTAATCGCTAAAATTTGGGGCATCTTCTTCGTCCCCTATGATTTGCACCTATGACTACGTGTTGAAATAAATGTAGACTGATATTCATTAAGAATTAAAATAAACTAATACTCACTCTTTGAGTCTTTGTAGAGCGCAGCGACGTGGTCAAAACTAAATTTTAATTTTTTATTAGAAAAAAATCATTAACTAAATATTTACTAATATTAACTAAAATTTACTAAATGTTTTATTTGTATCAATATAAATTCTGAATCTGTTCATTTAAATATAGTTTGTTATTTTCAGTCGGATGTTCTGTTTATTTTGTACATCAGCAGACGGCAGGTTTCCGGAAGCGGATATAAAAAATCTTTAAGTTCTATTTTTAATGAATGGCCGAGTTCAAAACTCGCATCTATTTTGCATTTGATCTATTTTATTAATAGCACTGCTGACTGAATGGATCTAACTCTATTTCAAATTTAAAAAAAAAAAATGAAAAACATTAATTAATAGCTATTAAAATTATTCTAATTTATTTTAATTGATTTGTTTCATTTTATGTGCTTACTGCCGAAAAATTGACATATGTTATATAGGGTTAGCATTAATGGTTGCAAATGCAGGATTGTAATTACATTTTTTGTTACTTTCTTGAAAACTTCTGCGGACCGGCGGATGATGGCCCACGAACCGACACCGGTCCGCGGACCACCACTTTGAGTAGGACTGACGTAGAGGAGACATACAGAACACCCATTCCTCACCTAACATACATTTCAATAGCTAAAGTGAAAAAAAATTGTTTGAAAATGCGATGTGTTTTGCGTAAAGATTTGAGTGAACTAATCTTAATATACATACTTTTGCGTATGTAAGTGTAATATATATATATATCGCACCTGAAAATGAAAAGAATAGGAATTGACACAGGTCCTTAATCAAAATTTAAGTTTAAAAGTCTACGATTTATGGAATGCTTTGTTCAATCTACTAGTACGTGAAATACAATTATAAACATAAAAGTATACAATAAATTCTATAAAATAATAATATCTAACAAGATAGTTTCTTTGCAGAGGGCTGCCACACTTTGATTGCCTCAACGTCATCAATTTTGAAATTCGTCGCATCACTTGATTTTTAATTATTTTTTTGTAAATTAGCAGTGTAGTCACTAGGGTGAGCGGTGATGATACCCTAACATTGAGACAAGACCATCCGCAGAGAGATAAAGTCAAATGAAAATAATGAATTTGAAAGAGCTTCACCAGAGAAGGCAGACTAGGTATAGGAGTGATAGGAGCCAAAATGATCAATAAATTGATCGTGGGCCCTTAAGATATAGAAGAAGGTAAAGATCCACGGGGAAGTCTTGATGTTACCAACAGTTATAGTCAGGGTGCTGACCTATGTTTTGTTCAATACTTGACTCTTTATCTTTCAAATATTTACGTCATCGTTTAAAATGTGTAATGCCCTACCAACCGACCTCTCCTTTGATTGAGAAAAAAAAATTAATGTTTTGCGTTCTATGTGTTCAAAAGAATGCTAATCGGTTGATGCAAATTCTAGAATATTTTTTGATGGAGTGCTCTAACTCCCTCCCTTTAAATAAGTTCATATCTTTCACAGTTTTCAAATGAGGTTTTCGGTAATTTACCCAGTCATTAACGAGACGTAATATACTTATAGGAGGCTTACATGATGTTACACATTGTATGTGTTTTTATTAATATGTGTATCTTTTGAGGAGTATACATTTTTACTTCCCATGCTTTAAGTTAATACAGTTTAAATTACTCTCACGGTCAATTTGTTTTTGTATTTTTTTTATAAATTTAATAGTACGATTAAACGTAATATTATTAACATCACTAATTTTGGTATGTTTTGTCTTTGAATACAGTTTTTCCATTCCCTTGTTACGCATTGTTCACATGATGAGCCAAATTTTAAAAATAGATTACATTTGCAAAACCATATAACGTTACGTAACACTAGATGTAGGGACGCAGGAGGACAATAAATCTAGTGACGCAAGAGGACACTACCTCTAGGGACGCTGGATATCAGCAACACTTGCGACGCTGTATGACACCAACTCTAGAGATGCTGTATGATACCAGCTCTATTGAGCATTATATATCACTGTCTAGACTAAATTGACTAGTAACAGACATCATGGTTGGTGCACTCCTCTACAAGTACAACTCAGATACACTATAGTCATAAAACAATAATTCTTATAAATAAATGCTCTTGATTTAAGCTATCTTTTTATTTCAGTCATCATCACCACAACCTCCACACTCCCTCACCAAACCAAAGCTTTCAATTTATTCCATTCTTAAGTAATTTACTCTGAATCGCGGACCACTTGCTTTATTTGTAATATTAACCATCTCTTATATATATATATATATATATATTTCGCTTGTGGTGTGGCTGCTTCTTATTCTCAACCAGCATCCCCCGACTCAACAAGTTGTATATTAAGGGTACTGATTAAAAAAAAAAATCGGTTGAGTAGCCCACGTCGTAAGTGTCGGTTGAAATTAGGTAAAAAGGTTGAATTTTTGTTTCAAGGCAACTTTTTTTAAAGGCCAAGGGTAAGGGGTAGGACTGTCTTTAGGACTATTGTTTAAATGCCGACCGGTGGTGTGTGAGCCTATTTTTTAAAAGATGGCAGGTAGGGTGTAGGACTGTCTGAAGGCCTAGTGTTTATATCAAATGAGTAAGTAACACTTTTTTTTTTTTTGTAACACATGGAACCACCGGGTATTTTCTCAAAATACCCGGAATCGGTTTAAAATTTCAAAAAAAATAACTACGTACGGTTAATTCATAGTAAGCAATATTGCATCACGGGCTGTGAAAAACGAGCGAACATAGTTTCTAACCAAAAAAAACAACAAAAAATAATAATAAAGACGACATGAAACTGAAACCCTAACTGACTTTGCATTACGGATTCACGATATGTTAAAATGAATTGGGTCAAAGTACGCCTTCCAGTGTGAGTAGCTTGTTTACATGGGTTTTCCTGGAAGAGTTCATCAGCCAGTCTTTCGCTTCTTGATAAGCAAGTGTGCTAAGGGTGTGGCGTTGTATGATGTAGTACCGTTATTTTAACATGAGTATTTTAATTACGTGGATACGATGATCATTTAATGGGGGAAAAAAAAGTAGTTCAAATATTATATTTATAGACATGATGAAATGCCAGTCGATATCAACATGCGCGTAGGAAAGTATACAAAGCATTAGATGATTGGCTGAAAATAAAAAAGAGATTATTCTCAGTATTATATATA